GAGATAAAGGAGAATCAATGATGCTCTTGCTAGCTTTAAAAGTTCTTGTTTGGTGTTTACTATAATATAATATGGGAAATAGGACTTCAATTTAATAATGTTTTCATATTATTTTTTTTTATTAGAGTATTTACTCACTTAAAAATTTGCTGTATCATTGACCAGTGAATCTGTTTGTTAATTATTTTCTTTAAATTTGCATGAGGCATTAAGAAAAGAGATGAACCTGTTCCCTTATTTAAGGCAGCTATTGCTGTAATCTATAATTTGTTCTTCAATGGAAAATATTCTTTTAACATTGGAAATGTCTTAAATGTACCAAAATTCCAATTGTCAAAATTTCCTTTTAATGTCTAATCTTTGGAAAGAAAGACATTTCTTTCTTTATGAGTAGGGAGTTATCAATTATTGAACATGCTGCACTGTAGAAGCAAAAAACCAAAGGTATTCAAAAAGGTCAGTGGTTTGTCTAGTTCAATATTTTGGAGGAGAGATCTTAAAATCCAGAATAACGTTTAAAGGAAAGACATTTTATTCTTTTTTCTTTGTCATGGGATTCCTAGTGTTTAAATGTGTGATTGTTTCTTCTGTCTGAAGTTTATTTGAATAAGGCTGAGAATCTTATAGGCATGACTTGAGTACCACAAATTGGCAGGGAAAAATCTGTTGTTTATATGGATATATCACTTTTTATTGATATTTATATTATAGTTTAAAGCACAATTATTCTCACTCTTTAGTAAAAGCTAAAGCAACTCTCAATAATAACTTTTCTCTCCCCACCAAAAAAAATTCAGAGCTTCTGCCTTTGTAAGTATCAAGCTGCCTGAGCTCAGCTCTCTTTCCTCTGCTGTACCCCTCTCTCCTCCCTCCCCTATTAGAATTTACACACCATCCATTGTCAGGGACGCAAACTGCTCTACAGTTTGTTAATGTCCAAGAAAGGCCATCACCTCTGAATCATTTTTTCCCCAAACATAAATCCCTGGGCCAACGAAGAAAAGTGGTATTTTTCCATCTCCATAATTTTTGTTATTTTAAGTCTATCCTTTAACCAAAGTGGCTTTGTGTTTCTTTTTCCTTGATAACTCACAGGTTCAAATGTAAAAATTTATTATTACAAGGAACAATTATGAGGTTCAAAGCATACTGTGTGCATTCCATGCTTCTAGCTTCTGGTACTGATATACGGAGTGAAATACTTGTGGTTGTCTACTCGCATGAAGTGGATGGGTTCCAACCACTGGCGGTGAGAGGCTTAATGAATGTCTGCCTTCGTCAGACCCAACAGGGACCCAGCATCATGGGAGGTTGCCCAAGTGGCATACTGCAGGCATCTCAAAAACAAACGTTTGACCATTTAACTTATTCCTTCCAGTTACTCTTCAACGTCAACAATAGCAACCACCAAAGAAGGAAAAATGACTTTGCTGATCTTCCTTTAAACATTGTTCTACATTCTAAGATCTCTTCTCCAAAATATTGAACTAGACTTTGGTTTTCTGTTTCTACAGTGCAGCATGTTAAGTAATTGAGAACTCCTCACTCATAAAGTCTTCTTTATTTAGTGCGATAGTTCCTTTACATAGGAAGAAAAAAAGAAAAAACAAAACCAGGACATCCTAGTAACTGTTGACTATTTTTTTGCTATCTGTCTCAAACTAAAAGAAAATTTTTTTTCCTGTGTTTGTGTATCGCCACTGGGTGTTGAGTGTGTGTGTGTAAATATATATATATAGTTTATTGGTTCAGGAAACCTTCTTTGATTCTGGTTTAGAAATCTGAGCGTCACCCAAAGATCCTGGACTTTCAGCTTGATGGGGACCTAGGATTTTCTACTTTCAGGAATGACATGTGTGTTCCATGCATGGCAGGAAAAATGGAATGGATATTTGGTGACAAGAGAGACAGAATGGGCAGAGGCTGACTAGCTCGTCATCAAATGCATTTCCTTTCTGTCCCGATCACGGAGATAGGCTACATTTCCCATCCTCCATTGTGCTTAGGTGTAGCCACATGACTCAGTACTGCCAATGGATTATGGGTGGAAATAATGTTCCCTACTTCCAAGCCTGGCCCATAAAACCACACACGAAAGAGCCTCACTCTCTCTTCCCACATATTCCCACAACTGGATGAAGAAGGTTATCAAGATCAGAAGGAGGGCAGACTCAGGAGATGGAAGGAGCCTGGGTCCCTGAAAAGGCACTTAGAAGCCTGTCTTTTGTGAAACTTCTGATTTTAAAACAAACTTTTATTTTGTTAAATCATTGATGTTTGCAGCTCTTTTGGTTACAACCTGTGTTGGGCAGAATGATGACACTCCTCCCGAGACATCCACTTCCTAATCCCTAGAACTTGTGAATATATTAGGTTACACGGCTGGTGAGAGAGTTAAGGTTGCAGATTAAATTTACGTTGCTTTTCAGCTGACTTTAGAATAGGGAAATTGTCCTGGATTATCCAGGTGGGCCCAGTGTAATCACAACAGTCCTTAAAAGTGGAAGAGGATGTCAGAATGATGCCACTGCAGCACTCAACCTGCTCACTGCTTTGAAGGTGGAGGAAGCTAAGGAATGTAGGTAACCTCTACAATTTGGAAAAAGACAGGTAATAGATTCTTTCCTAGGGCCTCCAGAAGGGAAAGACAGCCAACACCTTGATTTTAGTCCAGTAAGAACTACTTCCGACTTCTAACCTATAGAACTATAAGAGAATATATTTGTATTATTTAAGTCACTCAATTTGTGGTGATTTGCTACAGCAGAAATAGAAAACTAATAAACAATCATCAACATTATATTATTAAGTTAAATTAAATGGCATTTTATAAATCCCTCAGGCATCTCCTTCCTTCACTTTATCAAAACATACTCTCAGGTTGTTCTTTGATACTGTGTATAAATGTCTAAACAGCATAAAATCAATACCTTCCAGAAAGATCTGAGCTTTAGAAGGAAACAAAGTATTATAGTGAACACATAAATCTCTACCAGATGAACATTCAGTCTGGTCTAAAAAGAGGAGGAATTATTATTCTGACCCTCTAAATGACAACATATAGTTCTCTTAGTTTACCTTCCAATGTTCCAGAACCTTCCTTTTCCTGATTTTGGGTGACCATTTGTTAAAAAGCAAGGAAGCTACTAAAACTTAGGAATTGAGCTCTGGGATATCTAAGCTATCTGACTCAGAAAACAAAAATTACTTTACCACTGTAGCTTGTTTTCCTTTCTCCAAAATGAAAGGAGTTAGAGTTAGACTTCTCGATCCTTCTCTGTTCTAAACTGCTACAAATCAAATGAGTTTGTATTTCTCTAATGGTTCTCATGTACATTAATTTATTAGTAAATATGAATTTTTATATGTTTGATTTTTTTTCCATTATAATTGAAACCAAACTAAGAAGACATGTGACAATGGTGGGTCATGTCAAAATGACCATTTGGGTATTATAATCCTTTCTTCATCTAATTGTTAAGTGGTTAGGAGAGTGGGAGAACTTTCCCTTTTAATCCAGGGAGAAATTGACAAGAGTACAGTAAATACTTGAAGTCCAACCAGCAGACAACAGACTTGGCTGTAATCACACATATGGTGGCAACAGTCAAGCAAAGACGAAGAAGAGACAATGGACAAGGTCCTGGAAATGGCACTGAAAAGAAGAGGGACATAAAAATCTCTGTTACCAGAGAGATGAGAGTCATCTTTTTGTGTAGTTTACCGTTATAAAATTCTGAATAGGAATTCTTTTTCACAGCTGTTAAAAGAGAGTAGAAATACAACTGTGACTGATAATTGAAAAGCAGCTATTCATTCGCCATGTCTAAAAATAATGATTATACAGGCAGAATTGTCTCAGAGTACAGCAAAGCAAGCTTAATTAAAAAAAAAAAAATGCCAAAAGGGGGAAGCAATCCAACAGCGGAATAGGAAATTTTATGAGATTACCAAATCAACTTCTCTGACAGTTTACAAATGGTTAAAATTTTCCCTGCCCGATGCACTATCTGAAGGCAGGAAGGATTCCCATTAATCTCTTATAGGTCTTTACAGGGAACAGCGTGAGGCCAGGGTCATTTTTTGTATATTTCTCCTCCAGATATATACACAGATTGTGCACCTAACTGATAGGTTTTCTCAAGACTTCCCTTTACAGTAACTCTTTCCCTCTCCGCTGCAGACTAACTAGAACAGAAAATTAGAGGGAAATCTCTGTGGGTTCTGAAAATGGTGCCCTGGGGTGGAGATTATCCATGAAACACAAAGAGAGGACTCAAAATATGCAACTTTTCCAATCACATTTACAAAAGACTTCTCTTTTATCATAATTCCTGGTTAAAACTCACTGACCATGGTATAAGAATTAGATAGTTCTTTAGCACTCTGTAGTATTCCTGCACTTCAGTAACTAGTTGGCAAGGGGTTTTTCAGCAAAGGTAGCCCATAGCCACCTATAAGGAAGATCTGGTCACTCTGAGTGGTCAAGTAATTGTGGGAAGTTTATTTCTGATGCTCAGGTGGCAGCCCCTTCCACTATGTGACAACCTGTTGTTCTGCTTGCTTTCTACCAAAGGAAAGTATTTCGATTCTGTCCAAATTCAAAAACCAAACTCAAAATTCAGGGGTTAAAGAAAACAGCTCTGTAAACAGATGGGACAGACATGCTAATACATTGGAAACATGCTATTTAAATTCAGACTAGTTAAACAGGATGCCCTTTTGTCACTGACCAAATTGTTAAATTGGTGCCTTGGCAAGAGCCTTTTGTACTTCTCTGAAGATTCCCTGGATCCAAACCTCTGTGGTATTAAAACAAACAGAGTAAATATTTTCCTTGCAGTTTACATCTCAGATCTAAATATTTCCAAGCATGTCAAAATCACTTTTCTCCACCACTCCCTGCAGGGTCCGTGTAGACTTCAGCTGCCAAAGAACCCAGTTGAACTTGTCTAGGGAGGGGCCCAGTCCCTGAAGACAGGCAAAGCTCAGAGCAGAAAGCCAGGAGCAGCGTCTTGCAGCTGTGCTGCTCTGCTTGGCAGAGGGAACTCCTGCAGCAGCAGGTGTGCTATCTACTGACCTCAACACAACACAGGGAGGGAGGAGGCTCTGTCCTTGCCGTGTGCTCCCTGGGCTTGAGTATCTGCAATTCCCTTTTACCTACGTACAGAGAAGTACCAAGAGCCCACCCTGGGAAACCTGGGTTTCCTTTCATTGGCTTTTGGTTTGCAAGTCAGTCTTCCAGCTTTATGACTTTTGCCTCCAGCTAAGCTAGTTGTGTCCGTGAAATAAAGTGATTCCTCTGAAAAATCTAGAGGAGAGCATTGGCAGACTGTTTCTTTTTCTCAGTTACCTGTGTTTCGTATTGTGTTTTCAGTCCAAAATGCAGCTGAAGTTCTCTAGGAAAGAGAAAGCAAAGAGTCACAATTGAAGTATGATGCCAGTATTTCTTCCGACCATGTGTCTTGGGGACTTAACTCCAAATGTGTCTCAACACAATGGCAAAAAACAATACTCTGCTTTTCTCCCCCCCCCCCTTTCTTTGGTAGTTATTGACAGCAAATTCTCAAACTGCCATAACAAATTCACTAAAATCACTGTCATTATCTTCTCAACCAGAAATGAGAATAAATATATCTGTGGGCATCAATACCCTTGTGTTTGGACTCAGCGAGGTACTGCAATGTTGAGGATATGGATAACTCCCACCTCTAAAGAATTCATTTGCATTTCCCTGGAGCTGCCTAATGTGGTGAGTACTGTGAGGCACCAACCAGACCCCTCTTCACTCAGGAACTTTTTGTTCTTCAGCTGCTGAAAAATACCGTTGGCAACAGGCCACACGCTGGCAACCCCTTCAAGCATTGCCTCGGTTTCCCCAAGGTCACACCTTTTCCCAGGCAGCCCATATACAAAAATCGATCAGTAAGGAAGTGTGCGGTTCTGACCATTGCAACCCAACTTCAGAAAATTCTGAAGGGTCATCCTAGCTCTAGAGCTCCCTCTGGGATCCACTGGGGCTGTTGTTTCCTCCATGGAGACTCAGATTCTCCCTCTGCCCAGTCTACTTCCTTCCCCTCCCACTAGGTATGTTGATCCCAAAGATGCAGCTTAATAAACACCCTGAGCTCTAAATTTATCTCACAATCCGCTTCCCAGGGAACCAGATCTTGGCCTCCTAGGCTCCTGCTTAGCCCATTTTGGGAAGTCATGCCTGTGTTTGATGCAGACTTTCAGTCAATTGTTTGGTTAAACAGGTGCAGCACATTCATTTGTACTCGTAGGAAAATCAGAAAAGAACACCTACACACCTATCTTGGTGGAGTTTACAGTCAAGCTGGAGAGATAGCATAAACATATGAAGAGATAACTCGTAATATTATGTAATAAATGGTAAGTATCAAATGATAACATGACATTGGGGTTTATCAGAAGGGAAGGTTGCTTTTAGGGCAAAATAGTTGCTGGCTGTTTGAAGAGCAGTAGGGTTATGGTAACCCACTGTTACCTGCAGGTTGTTCTTCTGTGAAAGTCAATTTCTCAGTATACAAAGAGTGTCCATCTTACACATGAGCTTGACTCTAAATAGCCTTTCAGCTGTTCTGTGCCTCGTGGTGAAACTGCCAGACAATTCACAGTGGCAATAGGTAAAAAAATATATACACATATATTTCCATAAATAATTTTTTGTGAGATCTGCCCTTGTTGGCTCTCTTCCTCCTGGGTTGCTCAGGTTCCCAGGGCCTCTCAGCTTTCCCCATCCATGCTCCAAGGCATTGGCATGCAGAGAAGATGCCCCACCCTTCTTTCTGGGCTGGTTTATAAGCTTAACCCTGCCAATACAAATGCCAAAAGCTAGGTTTCACTCTTACCCGTCCTGACCTTGCCTTCCCTGGCATCCTCATTGTCTCCACCTCTATTTCTAAATTCTCATCTTCCATTTCGTTCCCCTAGATTCTGTCATGCCATGGGACCTCCCATCTCCTATCTAGAATTAACAGGACTTGGTCTACCTTGGTACAAAATTGCAGTTTAAAATCACAGTCCAATGTGGAAGCCTTGGGCAAGTCATTTAGTTTCCCCTATCTTCAGTAGTCTTATTTATGAAATGAGGATGCTCATTCCTACCTCCCATGCCTGACAATGATTATGGTTAATGAACTGGCTTGAAAACAAAAATCTCTTGGGAAAAAGTAAAAACAAAACACAAACACAAAACCCTAGCAAAAATAATTATATAATTTATCAAAGGTTTACTGCACGTGAAGCGTGTGTATAGTGTTATATCATAATGTATAACGCTTTGGTAGAAATTCTAAGGAAATAAGCGACAACTTGTGCCACTTGGGACTTAAAATGTGATTTTATCTTTGGCTGCTGTGACTTTAATCTGGAACCACTTCCTGTCCGTTCTTGCATATGATCTTTTTAGCCATATTACGATTTCACTTACAGTATAAATTTCATGTATCAATGGAACCCCTAACTTTCTATTATTCTGCCCTTTTATTTTTCTCCTATCTACTGCTTGCTTTTTCTTTTATGTTTACTTTTGTTTTATTTAATATATCTCATTAAGCCATCTTATATATGTATGTGTGTATATATTTATATGTATATATTTTTTAAATGATGTAGAGCGTAAGTATTAATGCTAACACTAAAAATAATTCTGAAGAAAGCATAGTGGCAAGAGCTGTAGAATCGCTTGCACCTCTTCACTCTGAGCAATTACAGTTTTTAAGTGCCATCATATCATTTAGGTGAAAACTGCAAAGGTAATTCATGAGTGAGGAGATACTTTTATATATTTATTCATAGTGTACTGATTCACACACCCTAATGTGAATTGTTCGGTGTGATCATAAAGATATATATAAACAAAAAGCAAAATAACTAATTACAGAACATGAAAACACTAAATATGTGAACTATGCTCACTGTAATCTACCATGCTAGTACTAATCTGTATAAACTCAATTTAATCTACACAAAGGTAAACGTAATCTACATAAAAAGAAGAGGCAATCTATATAGAAGTGATCTACATTAATGTCTATTGAATCCATGAGTGAATCAATGAGTGAACAACGTTTCTGAACCCACATCACTAGTCAAATTGCACTGGCTAGATGTTTTACATGCACTCTTCAATTTGATGCTGAAATCAGTCTGGTAGGTATATATTATTCTTTTCATCTTACAGGGAATAAACTGAGTCTTAAAGAGGTTAAGTAATAATAACAGAAGCAGTGTTCCCTGTGCTTCACCCAAATTAACACATCAGTTCTCTCACAAAACCAATGTGGTAGAGTCTATTTCTTTTTATTCTCATTTTATAAATTAAGAAATAAGAAACAGAGATGTTACATAAATTTCCCAAGGCTATACATTTAGTAATGAAGCTGGGATTCAAACCCAAGCAGTCTAATTCCAGAGTCTATACCCTTAACCACTAAACTAAGTAATTTCCCCAAATTTATTTTGCTAAACAAATGACAGACATTCATATTTTACACTAAAGCTCATGCTCTTTAATTTAAACCATGCTGCCTTAGGATTCAGTTCAAACCACACCTACTATGTAAATCTTTTCTGTTGGTCTCAGACAGAATTAGTTATTCCTTTCCCACGTCCTCCAATAATAGATAGATAGGTAGATAGGAGAGAAAGATATAAATATAAAATAGAATAAATATACATACACAGTAATCTCTGTATTTTCTTTTAATAATCTTTCAATATGTGTATTTACCTTTTAAATGAGATTTCCTTAAATGTAAAGATTACTTAATAATGAAACAATATTTTCTTAATTAAATATATCTTAAAAATATAAATGATTCAATGAGTGAATAGGAGAAAAACTTCACACCATATACACCTGGTCTGTTAAAATTTCATCAGTGCCTGAAATTCTGCTATTCGAGATTTGTTATTTTGGCTTAAATCCTCTTATCCCTTGAAGAGAAAAGTTGCTGGTAAGGGTTGCTCTGTCAATCCATATCTGTCTTTTGTGTTTTAATGCAAACACATTTACCAGATCTTTTCCTGAGAATAGTTTTGATGACACTAAATACGGACAGAACAAGAAGACCCTAAGTCTTTCCTAAGGTCACCAGAGATATAACCTCTGAAGGAAGCCAACAGCAATCAAAGTAGATACTATAATAGAAAGCTAATTTTGTAGACTCTAGAACATTTTCAGGGGGGAACCTTGACTTTATTGACATTGTCAAATCCCATCCGAAGATATATCATCTACAAATAAAATCTTTCCTTGAGTAAGGGAACCAAGGGATGACACACTGGGAATCATAAGAAGGTTAAAGTTAACAGGCCCATAAGATTTCAGGTTGTAACCTGTGATGCCAAACCTGGCCTGGGCAACAGAATCACCTTGGGAGCATTTGAAAGTGATATCCTACCTGTGCCCCAAAACTAATAAATTTCATCTGAATCTCTATAGGTTAGAAAAAATAAAAATAACCCCCCATGTGATTCTAACATAAAGAAGTTTGGTGACAGAAAGCTTCCACAAACCAATGTTCTAGGCCAAGCATCACCATACTCTTACCAATAGCCTACTGGTGGACTAGCTCTTAAAATTTCTCTCCACCTTTAAAAATCAATTTCAAGCCATCAACACCCAAGGTAGTGGTAGCAGCAGGGCCAGCTTCATGGGCATTCAACTTGTGCAGTCACCTGGGGACCCACAGTTAGAAGGGCCCTGTGCTTGGTTTAATGCTCTGCTGTCACCTTTGGGACTACTTAGTGATTTTTAGTGAGGGCCCACATTTTTATTTTGCACTGGACTTCGCAATGAAGTAGCCAGTCCAGGGTTGCTCTTATTAAATAGTAGGGAGTTAGGTGGAACAATGGCGGAAAATAATAATTAGCAAACTCTTGAGATCCAATTAACTAGATGAATAACACAGTAATGAGCTAGGTGTCCCTATATATCCAGAGGATTCTTGAACAAGTCAGTTTATATGGTGGGCTTTATCTTGGTCTTCAAAAGGAAAATAGGGTGTTGGAGTAGAGGGTCTCTAGTACCCTACCCAGTTCTAGAACTGTGGCAGAAGTTGCTCTTATGTTCACCACAACCTATTACCTTTTATTCCTCAACACACAGCAAGACTACCTTTCCCAGCCTCCCTTGCACATCAGTGCAGCCATGGGTATTAATTTGCTGGTGCAGCTATAACAAAATACCACAGACTGGGTGGCTTAAACAACAGAAGTTAATTTTCTCACCATTTTGGAGAGTAGAAGTCTGAGCTCAAAGTGTTGGCAGGCTTGGTTGGTTTCTTCTGAGGCCTCTTCCCTTGGCTTGTAGGTAGCCTTTCCTCTGTAACTCGTCTGTGTCCATATTTCCTCTTCATCTGAGGAGGACACCAGTTAGACTGCATTAGGTCCCACCCTCATGACTTCATTTTAACTTCAACACCTCTATAAAGACCCAATCTCCAAATACCGTATAGTTACATTCTGGGGCGCTAGGGGTTTAGGACTTCCACCTACGAATGTTGGGGGACACATTTCAGTCCATAACATCATGTGATGGAGTTTTGACCAATAAAATAAGGGCAGGAGTTATAGATGCCAGTTTCAGTCCAAGTCTACAGACACCTTATACACACAGTCCTCCGCTCCCTTTTCCCCTTCCGCATGACTGGAACAGAGCCCACCCTCTGGGCCACCTTGGAAGCCATGTGGTGAAGCCACACAGTGAAAGGATCCCGAATCTCTGAGTCACCACTTAGAGCAAAGCCACTCCACCAGAAACACCCACATAGACATATGATTGTGAATGAGAAATAACCCATTATTGTTTTAGGTTCTGCAATTTGGAGGTCTATCTGTTATAGCAGCTAGTGCTAGCGTAGCTAAAATAAGCAATCAATGAAGATTCAGAAAAACTGAGGTTGCATGTTTGCTTTATCTCAGTGAAGCAACTACTCAATAATATAAGGACCTTCTTGGTGTTCAGAGCTGTACTAGGTGCTGCAAGTTACAAAGAAATACAAAACACGGTGCCTGCTGTCCATATCACTGGCACAAACCATCCAGACACCATGAAGTGTCAAAGGGTAGAGGAATATATTCATGTTACAGTTTTAAGAAGTGGTTGATGCGTGAAGCCTGAAGGATTCAGAAGGGTGTTATTTGATGAGTTGGACTTTGACCTTGGCCTGAAGCCTAGGAGGAATTTAGGTAAGTGAAGGATATCTCAGCAACGAGGGTGAGCATGAGCAGAAAGTCAACGTAAAAAAGAAGCCAGGCATCAGTGAGAAACCATGAACATTCTGCCCAACAGAAGCAGAGAATCCTGCAGGGGAGTGCAGGGTAATAAAGAAAAGCGCTTAACCCAAGCCAGACCCAGCAAAGCCTAGGGAGCTAGGTAATCAGTTTAAGCTGGTTTACTGTGAACAGTCCAGCCTCAAACTTGATTGGGAAAATCCTTCAGAAAATTCACTCTTCTCTCTTTTTCTTTGAACTTTTACTTGGTGTCTTTTTCCTTGAGTACTTTTTTCCTAGAGTTTGTGCACAGACGCTAGGATAGAACTATGATGCATGTCTGCCCCCTCAAATGACTTGTGACCTCACTTTTGGTTTTATTATTTTCTATTCTGCTATTCATGTGTCAGTCTTATTTCTCATCCATATCTTATCTTAGGAGTTTTACAAAACATCTCCCCAGTTGGAGATGAATTCCTCACTTCTTCCTATATAATGTAATGGGTATGAATTTTGAATTCTCAAATAAAATATCATTATTATCACGACTCTTTTTTTTTTTAACCCCTTGCCCTCATCAATTGCTACCTGAATTTAATCCTCTTTCTCCCGTTTTCCTTTGGCCATTTGTTCCAAGACTCCAGCCAGCATTTCCTGCAGCACTTAGTAATGCCACAGTAATAGTTTTTCCATTGAAAAATACCACAAGTACAATATTTCCAATGGAAATACCACAAAAACAGTGTTTCCACTGAGCACACCGCAAGTAGAGTGCTTTTGTGGTATCTAAATTTTGAGATGAACTCGTAATGTTCATCTTGGATTCATTATAACTAGAGCCCCTACTTTCTGGAAAGTGCTGAAACAGGGATGGAATTTTTATTTGTAGTTAAAAAAATTCAATAAAAATAAAAGTTGGATGATGCCAAGACAATTTTGCACTTGCTTTTGTGAGTAAAATATAAATAGATTTAGCAAGTAAAGGAGATAAAACTTCATAAGAATGTACAGAGAGGCTTAACGGCTGGAAAAGAAACAATGTGTGTGTGTGTGTGTGTGTGTGTGTGTGCATGAGAGAGAGAGAGAGAGAGAGAGAGAGAGAAAGAGAGAGACAGAGAGAGAGAGAGAGAGAGAGGGAGATAACATTTAAAACAGCTCAGCAGCTGGGAAAGCAACAACCTGTAAAAACACTTAACATTTACAGCCACTCAGTGGCTGGAAAACCAACTTCTCATAAAATCGATTTAACATTTTGGTCGCTGGTGAAGACATTTAATGCATGCGTGTTTATATATCTGTGTTTATACTGCAACCCTATGAATTTCAGTGGGTTTTAATAGTTGTAAACTGGAAGAGACCATTTGAAACTGTTGAGGGCATGTAATATTTTTGCACCACTGACAGTAAGTATGGATATCAACACATATCAACTTCTTTTAGATCGGTTGGTGAGTGTGCCTAGCATCTGGTTAGTTACAGTCTCTTTATTAACTTTTGTATTTGTACCATCTCACTGATCTGTAGTGCCCTACTTATGAAAGTCATTTTTTAAAAATTTCCAGTTGGAATCACTCTCTTATTTTCCAGGAGTTTAAGACTTAAGCTTCTTAGATCCTGATCTGCCTGTAGTTTGGCAAACAAAGTTATCTGTCAGGATAGTCCAATTTTTTCATTTCCCTTGTTATGTCTTAAATAAGTTCAGTTAAAGAGGGTAACAGTTTGTTATTTTTTTTTTCCTCTCAGCTGGTTTAGTTTAGTTTAGTTTTTTCTGGTTGGTTCTAGTTAATGAACTCAATTACCAACTGGTCAAAGAGAATTCCTTTATTTTGAGGGGAGGAGGAGATGATTTAAAAAAGTAAGTGGAATTCTTAAAAATTTTTCTTAAAACTTTTGAAGTTAATAATACTGGAGCAAGCTGTACTGAAAAGATGATAAAATGCCAACACACAGCCCACCATTTTATAGATATGTGACCTTGGAGATGGGAAAAGTCACAATACCTTGAAGACTCAAATTTCTATTTGTAAAATAGAAATTATCATACCTTCTTCACCTACCTCTCCAGATAGTTTTGAGACTCAGATGACATAATATATAGGAATGTGTTTAGTTGATGGCAAAGCACTAGATGTAAAATTTATTGTAAAACTTGATAAAACGAAAACTCTTACATTGGAAACTTAAACACATTTTAAGTAAAAGCTTAGCCAAAATTATAATGACATATTTGTTCCTAGACTCCCATTAAGTGGGCATTTTTTGTAATCCCTTTGGAGGATGAAAGTTAGACAGAATCAAGAAAATCAAGAAAGAGTCATATGGATGAGCTTAAAACCATCAACTCTGAATCCAGGCAGCCATTTTCATCTGCTTTTTTTTTAACCAGAGCCCAGCCCTAAACATCCATCAGTGTGGACAATTACTCATTGGCCTACTTCACACCTATTTTACTTTTAGTTAAGGTTTAAATACTATTTTCTATTTATAGGAAAGATTTATGATTATTCATATCAGTATTTTCTCAGAGCAAGTCTGAGAGGGATAAGATCCTTGACTATTATCATAACATTTTGGCTATAGCAGGGTAAATCCGACATAGCTTCTCTGCTGCTAGTCCATCTTCTTTCAGGGAAAAACCTACACAGAAAAATTGACTGCAAACATCCATTTCCTACAACTCGTTCTCATGGCATGGAACCCTTATGACATTGTTATATTTAGTATCATGGTTTTAGTTAAGGTTTTTTTCCCCCTAAAATGAGTAGCAACCCCTTCACAGACAAAGAGTGGACATTTCGATTCTAACTGTTCCCTGCATTTCTGGGCCACTGACTTGTCCAAATTAAAAACAAATATCAAGGCCGGGCGCTGTGGCTCACGCCTGTAATCCTAGCTCTTGGGAGGCCGAGGCGGGCGGATTGCTCAAGGTCAGGAGTTCAAAACCAGCCTGAGCAAGAGCGAGACCCCATCTCTACTATAAATAGAAACTAATTGGCCAACTAATATATATATATATAGAAAAAATGAGCCAGGCATGGTGGCGCATACCTGTAGTCCCAGCTACTTGGGAGGCTGAGGCAGAAGGATTGCTTGAGCCCAGGAGTTTGAGGTTGCTATGAGCTAGGCTGACGCCACAGCACTCTCTCTAGCCTAGGCAACAAAGCGACACTCTGTCTCAAAAAAAATAATATATATATATATAATAGAATGCAAATCTAGACCCTTGATTCTATCAAGAGTGCCAAAATCCATCCCCCTTTTATTGGGTTGATAACTCAATTTGCTTCAAGTGGTACCACAAATAAAACATGAAAGGGAAATGAAAGTTGTTAAATGTTAGTCATTTGGGAGATCTTTCTCCCCGTAGAAGCCTTACTCTCTTCTAACAGAGTGGGAATAAAAACAAGTTTTGGGGAAGGGTGTTATCAAACTTGCCCATAACTTCATAAAGTTACTTGTTTTGTGCTCAAGAATAGCATCCCATTTAAAATATCATTTCAAGAAAGGACCAAACATCAAGATGCCTTAGTGATGAGGCTTGAATATTTCAACCTCGTAACAAACAACAACAACAAAAAGGACAGTGTTTTGAAACGTTTAAACTTGAGGGGTGGGAGCTGACACCACAAAAAGTCTCAACCGATGCTTGGGTTCCAGGTCACTAGGCAGGGTGACCTGGGCCCAAACCGCAGGGCCCAAACCGCTGCCCCTCCCTCCCTCCCTCCCTGGAGGTATCCACACAGTGCAGGTTAACCACAGGCCTCGTGCTGCACAGTCATCCTTCCTGTGTGTAAGTGGCAAGAACTTTGATAATAGAGAGACTTCCAAAGTTCGAAAATCGTAAACAAGAAAAATCAGGAGCTACTATGGCAGAATGAAAAAAAATGAAATGAAAATAGGGAGTCAGTAGTTTAAATGGCCCTGGCTTTTCCCCATTCTGCTGCTATTAAAGCCAAAGATGGCCTCTTTTAGACACACCAATGCATTGAGTAATGGGGTTATTTATACTTAGGCTCCCTATATATGGGCATTATAACATAGTATATTCTTGGAGGAACTAAATTTACAAGATAGAGGAATGTGAAAGATGGTTTTATCCTCTTATTGATACATCTGTGACTTAAGGGAAAACAAAACTGTCATCATGAATAAGATATAAGCAATCAATACTTATCATAATGATGATTTATTGATTCATGATGATTTTTTTTATTATAGTTGTTCCACATTTCAAACCTATGGGATTCAAAAAAAACCTAGTTGGTAACTGAACTTTTATTTAACAAAACAGGTAACTTACCCATTTCATGGATTATACTTAATTTATAAACGTTTTTACTGCTGCCGAAGAATTTAAACATGAGAGATGGAAGTGCAGAGATGAAAGAAACAGGCAGTACAAGAACATGTGAGGATAAGAATCAGCAAGAGGCTTCAGTGAAGATACAGTTGGATCTGGGAGGAAAAAAAAAAACTAAAAAGAAGAGAAGGGCAGGGGAGAGCAGAGGAGAAACTTCTGGAAAAAGATACTCTCTTGGCAAGATGAATGGAAAATAAAACTGCAGAATGAAAGACTGCTTAAAGAACAGTCCCTAATCTTCTGCCAACACAGGCTAATTTGTATTTCTGGAACTAGCAGAAAGGATGTCAGCTGAAGCTCATGTTAGAGTCACCTTGCAGCAAATGTTCCACCGCACATGTGCAGTCAGGAGGGAGTGGAATGAATTTAGGTTCATCGAGTGAAGAATGACTTCAGGAACTCCAAACATCCCATTCCCGAGCTTCAGCTTCAGAACATAGGCTCTTTCTCTCTAATTGCACATAGGAAATAAAGAGAACAGGGTCTGGGCTGTCAATTAAGATCTAAATTTGGCTCCCAGTGAAGAGAAATAGCAACCATCAAGCTGTAAATGCTTCTTTAATGAGGTATGAAGAACTAAGCTTGTCACCAAGAAGAAAGGTTCCAGTGGAGAGTTCTAAGAATTGAAAGAGAGGTGAACAAGCTACACACACGCCAGATTAGCATTCTCATTCTTCAGTTTTCTTTGGTTAGTGTGGAAAGTAATCAGTTTATGTATTCTGTCTACTTCCATGTTGCTTTTCGTGTCATTAGGATGACTGTTAGATTGTAGATCCCTAGAAAATAATGCTTCCTTTCTTTCCTCCTAGCTGCTTTTTTTCTCCTGCCTTCTCCTTCTTTCCCCTGCCCTTTTTTACAACTTTCTTGAAAACTCAGTTGCAAGTACAAAGTAAAGCTTGCTGAGCGTTCACAAAATGAGGCTGTAAGTACAACCAGCATTCAGATCGCAAAATAGAAATTTCTAAAACTGCAGAAGCTCTGGATGCCCCCTTGCAGTTACTACCAAAGGTAAATACTGTTTGGAGTTATAACAACATAGATTAAATTTGCCTATATTTGAACTTTATATAATTAGAACCACATAGTCTACTCTCTGTTGTGTTTGGCTTCTTTTTTGCTTAGCATTATGTTTGTACGCCTCGCCCATGTTGTTGCATGTTACAATAATTTGATCATACTTATTCATTTTGCATTGTGTGGATATGTCACAACTTTATTTATAGTCTCTTCTGTTAGTGGAAATTATTATACATGTCCTTTGGTGAACTTATATATTTACATCTTTTGGGTATATACCTTGGGAAATGGAATTGCTGAGTTAGAAAATATAATATGATTTTCTTAGCTTTAATGACCCTTCGGGCATCCTCTTTGTCAAGTTCTTATTCAGGCTTTATGCCCATTTTCCTATTGATTTTTTGACCCTTCACCCTCTTAATGGTTTGTTTTGAATGAAGAGATTCTTGATTTAATACTGTTCAATTTATCCACTTTCCTCCCCTTTTATTGTTAAGTAGCTTTTGGAGTCTGATTTAAGAAATCTTTGCTGACTTGAAGGTCACAAAAATATTGCTCTATATTTCTTTCTAGAAGATTTATTTAGTTTCACATTTAGATCTACCACATCCTCATAGGTAATTAGCTGGACAGAGAACCGAAGTCACCTGTGACATGGCTTAGCTATTTGCTCTGGGAAATTCCCGCAAACCAAATTCTCCAGGCAAATATCTTACTTATCTAGGAAAATACCTCTCCCCTATCAGGAGAATAGATTTCTCACCCAAACAGACAGCTCATGTGTCAAAAATCAGTTTACTTATCTGGATTTACTTCATGCCTTTCTCTGTGTCCACCAATCCTAAACTATCACGTAACAATTTCTTCCTAATCTCAGTTGTTCCTAGCCTGGAAAAAAAAATCTAGCCCTAACCACGTGAGCCCAAATCCAAAGCCCCAAACACCTTTCTCTGACTTTTGTTAGACAGAGGTCTAATAAACTTAGTTTGTCCAATCAACAGGTTTTGCGGTGTTTTTTATTTATTTGGGGTTTTTTTTGTTTGTTTTTTTGTTTTTTTGTTTGTTTAGGATTTGACAGCAGACAGAGCAAAGATGTGTTTATCTTCTTAGAAATACTGAATGACTTAGCCCCAATTACTGAAAAGGCCACTGTTTCTGCACTCTACTGCAGTCTCATCTTTGTAACAAATCAAATAATTGTGCAACTGTGTTCTTTTTATAGGCTTCTTATTCTGTTCTATTTGTCTAACTTATTCCAATACCTCATTTTTGTAAGTACTCTAGCATTATAAGTCTTAATATCTGGAACTATTCATCTACAACTTGGTTGTTCTTTGAGATTTTCTTGCCTATTTTTGGTCCTTTGCATTTCCATATAAATTTTGGAATCAGCTTGCCAGTTTTCAGAGAATACCTTAGTGATTGTCTTCAACTGATTGATCAGTTTAGGATGAATGTCATCTGTCAACTATTGAATCTTCCAAATACATACATTTTTATTTAGGCCTTCTTTATTTCTCTCACTGTTTTATATTTAACAGTACATATATTTTGTACATATACCAATATATTTCTTCCTAAATATCTTGTTTGATTCAATTATAAAAGGTATCTTTTTTATTCTATTTGTTTGTTATATCCAGAGATCTTAATAAAATGGCTTATTATGAGTGCATACTATTTAAATGAAAAGTCTTCAACTATAGATTCTTACAGATTGTCTTACACAATCATTCCATCTGACAATAAAGATCATTTTATTTATTTCTAGTCTGTGTCTGTGTGTGCATGTATGTAAATACTTTTTGTTGGAAAACTGGCATTTTTCCCTTACCGTAATAGGTCTGACAATAGGTCTGTATTGGGTGACCATTTCTGGAATTTACAGTTGACAGAAGCAAGATTGATTTAGTTCCTTTGACTTTCCATAATTTTTAAACTCTAGGGCTGGAAATAGAAGATTTGAATTTAAGTCTGTTATAATTCTCAAAAAGGTAAAATTATGACTTTCATAAAAATATACAGTAAACACGTGTGTCAATTTTTAAAAACTCATTAACTAATGAAGCAACCTATAAAATGTTAAAAACCAGTTCAAAAGAAAATCTAAGCACAGATGTAAATGCTGAAATAAATTTGCTAATATATGCAAAATGAGTCAGTATGTTCCAGAAATAACATGTAATATTTGAATCACCTAAAGAGTGGAAATTGACTGTAAATCTACAAGACAATTCATGTGCATCTCAATACACAAGAACCATTTGTGTCCCTTTCAGTTTTCTACAACTTATAAAAGTTATAAAATGCTCAGTCAATAAAAGTCTCAGACCCCTACATATTATAATAAGAAGAAAACACTCAACATTTCATTGAAAGGATACCCAACGATCAAATGCCCACCTTAAAATCATTTATGGTTGTTCCTGACAAACATAAAGAACATATGATTTTCAGTCTAAATTAATGCCCTTGAATTTCAGCTCTTCCATCAGTAAAATGAGAATAATAATTTTCATCTAACGGCATTGTGAGGATTCAGTGAGATGATGGTTATGAATATATTTGCAAACTATAAAGGTTTATAAAAGTAGAATACATTATTTAAATATACCATATGGCTTATTTTATAATAATATATTTACTTTAAGTGATACAAATTCAAATTTATTTCCATTTTCCATTTGGCTGTCCCGTATTCCTCATTAGAGCTTTTTAAATTCCATCATAATTCTCCATTCCTCGGGTCTGGGTTTGACTTTTGCTGTTCAGCCTCTCTTCAGGATTCCAGGATTAATGCTTACAGTCTGCAATTCCTGTTCTCTTTGTCCACACATAAGCACCTTTGAATAATAAACTAAGGATAGTTCCTAAGGAATACGGCATGGTTAACGAGATGAATATGTATTAAGAAGTGATTATGACCCAGGCATTGTTCTACGTTTCCTATACATGCTATTTAATTTAATTCAGCCCTTACAACACTCCTTTAAGACATTATTCACATTTTAAAGGAGGAGAAACTAAAAATAAGAAAGTTTGCGTACTTGCTCTGAAATAGTAAATATTAATATTGGAGTTGTATTCAAAATCAAGGCTAAACAAGTCAAAGCCCACTTCATTTTTCTGTGCTTTGTACAAGGACACTAAAAAAAGGTGAGATAAACACTGAATGTCCCTCTGCCTTTTCAATTAAAAGAAATTAAACCAATAAACCAACCCAAGTACCTTCTAATTTCCATGTCAGGAAAGAACACACATTCACTGGCATTCTTACTCACTGTGTGTAGAGATTGACCTTAAATTGCCAAAAGGAGACCTAGTAGAGGTGGATCCTGCAGAATCTCACTTTCTTTGCTTTCTCATTCCCAGAAATGGAGCTGATTCTCAATATTTCTGACATAATTAAGTTCAAAAAATATGTTTCCAATATTCATTTGCCAATATGCTGATTGGCTTTATTCTGTTGGTTTAAATAGGACTTTCTTTTCTAATATATATTAGTTAGAGAAGTCTGCAAGTATAATGTCTGATCAATGTTTTACTAAGATAGTCCTTTCATAATTCTTTATTATAATATTGTTGCTACTTTAGCTTATAAATGTTTATAGTGACACTAATGAATCCTAGAATATGGTTTTATAGATAGAGATCTGGACATACAGATATGGATACAGATGTATACAGACAGCCCGATTTATGGCGTTCTGTTTTTACAAACAGGCTCCCAAGGCTTCCCATAAGGATGATGTATAATTAAGTAATTAATTTAATAATTCAGAAATTAGTTCTTCTGTGAAAGTAAACAAACCCGCATGGCATAAGCAGTTCATTTGCTCAGCATCTTTACACTAGTGGCTAGTCTAGTTTCATTGTTCATGCGATCACTTATGGACAGCAACACTTTCATCTCAACTTTTTTATTCGATTTTGTCAGTCTATGTTTACCCTTACAACCATGCCTCCAAAGTGAAATTCCCCTGAGAGTCCAGGAGAGCCTGCAGGGAAGAGAAAGGTGATTACAATGGAAACAAAAGTAGAGATAATTAAGCATTCGGAGAAAGCCCAGAGGCCATCATTCACTGGGAAAGCTTCAGGCTACAGTCTCTCCACTATTGGAGCAATTGTAAAGAATAAAGTGAGAATAATAGAACGTGTGAAAGGCAGTACTCCAACAAAACCATCAATTATTACTAAGCAGCTAGTGGATTAATTATTGAATGGAAAGGTTATTATTGATTTGGATAGAAGATGCAAAATAACGATAATATTACTATTATCCTAGCATTGATGCAACATTGGGTTAACTTTCAATATTCTTTTTTGAAATTTTTTGTATCTCTTACCTAAACTTTTTTTATGATTTTGTTTTTATGTTGTTTGTTTGAATTAAAAGAAAGAACACAATAGTGTCTGTAACTTATTATTATAGTATAGGATTATATCTACTATTATTCCACTATTACACTGTATTATTATTTCCATATATGAGCCATCATAGTATTGTTATTGTTATTATTATTTTACTGTACATATCCCATTCATTGGGGATCCAAGTTACATAAAAATCCGAAATAAAGGCATTCTCAGGAACATATCTCATCTATAACCCAAGGACCCCCTGTAGATAGACACATAGAAAGACCTAAATATAGACACACACACACACACACACACACACACACACACACACGATTATAACTTATCTTAAAATTCTTCAGGATACCTCCAATTCCTTTCATTAGCGTCAGTCATCTTTAACAGGATTCTAGAAATCAGATTAAGAATTCTACTCTTATTTCCATTTCATTGAGGAGGGGAAAAGTAAATGTAAAGTAAGTTCTCCAATTGGCTAACTAAATAACTTTCCAAATGAGGAATAGAAGGCAGCTGATTGGTGAGCTTTCAGTATGTAACTGTGGTGGAGCTTCACAATAACTATGAAAGGGGCATAGAGTGTGATCCTAAAGATACCATAAATCATACAGATTCCTTCATACTGAGTATGTCTTCTGGACCACAGGATTAGCTCATTCCGAAATGTTTGCATTTGCAAAATGATTGGATATAACTGAAGCTAGAGGTGCACAATAAATATTTTTCTAAAATTTCAAAATATTACGGGGGTAAAATGTTTTTGGTTACATGGATCGCTTTTGTAATGCTTGAGTCAGGGTTATAAGTGTGCTCATCACCCAGATAGTGTTCATTATATCCCTTGGGCAGGTTTTCACCCATCCCCACCTTCCCCCTCCCTACTGCTTGATTTCCACTGAGTTTTACTTCTCTCTACGCACATATGTGCTCATTGGTTAGTTCTAATTTCATATCGAGTACATGCGGTGTTTGTTTTTCCATTCTTTACACATTTCACTTAGAATAATGGTTTCCAGTTCCATCCAAATGGCAAAAGGCATTAATTCATCCATTTTATGGCTGAGTAGTATTACATGGTATACATATACAACATTTTGTTAATCCATCCTTATATTGCCTCGTAAGTGCCTCATATGAATTGATGGCACTTGGGTTGTTTCCACATCTTTGAAATTGTGAATTGTGCTGCAAGAAAAATTCAAGTGCGGGTATATTTTTGATAAAATGACTTCTTTTCCTTTGGGTAAAATACCTGGTAGTGGGACTGCTGGACCAAATGGTAGGTCAACTTTTAGTTCTTTGAGGAGTCTCCATACTGTTTTCCATAGAGGTCATACTAATTTGCAGTCCCACCAACAGTGTAAAAGCATTCCTTTCTCTCTGCAGCCATGGCAACATCTATAGTATTTGGACTTTTTAAAGAAAAGCTATTCTAACAGGGATAAAGAGTTATCTCATTGTGGTTTTAATTTGCATTGCTCTAATGATTAGTGACATTGAGCATTTTTTCATATGTTTATGTATTTGGACTTTTTAAAGAAAAGCTATTCTAACAGGGATAAAGAGATATCTCATTGTGGTTTTAATTTGCATTGCTCTAATGATTAGTGACATTGAGCATTTTTTCATATGTTTATGGCCATTTGTCTATCTTCCTTTGAAAAGCTTCTGCTCATATCTTTTGCCCACTTTTTAATGTTTTCTTTTTCTAGCTGATTTGCTTGAGTTCTTTGTAGATTCTGGTTATTATCCCTTTATAGGATACATAGGTAGTGAATATATTCTCCCATTCTGTAGGTTGTCTATTTGCTCTGTTGATTATTTCCTTACCTGTGCACAAGTTTTTCAATTTAATCAAGTGTCCTTTATTTTTGTTGTTATTTTATTTGCCTTTGGGGTCTTAGTCATAAATTCTTTGCCTAAGCTAATATCTAGAAGAGTTTTTCCTACTTTTTCTTCTGGAATTCTTATGGGTTCATGCCTTACATTTAAGACTTTTGATTTGGATCCTGTTTCAGTCTTCTGCATGTGGCTATTCTAATTTTCCCAGCACCATTTACTGAATAGGGATTCTTTTCCCTAGTGTATGTTTTTGTCTGCTTTGTCAAAGATCAGATGGCTATATGAGGATGGTTTTCTATCTGGGTTCTCTGTTCTGATTGATTGGTCTAGTTCTCTGCTCTTGGGCCAACACCATAGTGCTTTGGTTACTGTAGCCTTGTAGTATAGCTTGAAGCTTGGTAAAGTGATGCCTCCTGATTTGTTCTTTTTGCTTAAAACTGTAAGACCCTATTCAGGGTCTTTTCTGGTTCCATACAAAGTTTAGCATTATTTTTTCTAGATCTAAAAAAAAAAATCACATTGATATTTTAATGGAGATTGCATTGAATCTGTAAATCACTTTAGGCAGTATAGACATTTTAACAATGTTGATTCTGCCGATCCATGAGCATGATAAGTTTTTCCATTTGTTTACATCCTCTGTGAATTCCTTACTCAGTGTTTCAAAGTTCTTCCTGTAGAGATCTTTTACTTCCTTGGCTAAATATATTCTTAGGTATTTTATTTTCTTTGTTGCTATTGTGAGATATTGAGTCTTTGATTTGATTCTCAGCTTGACTGTTGTTGGTATATAGGAATGCAACTAATTTGTGTACATTGATTTTGTAACCTGAGACTTTGCTGAATTTATTTATCAATTCCTGGAGTCTCTTGATGGAAACTTTGGTGTTTTCTGGATATAGTCAGCAAAGAGTGATAGTTTGACCTTTTCTTTCCCCATTTGGATGCCCTTGATTTCCTTCTCTTGCCTGATTGCTCTGGCTGGGACTTCCAACACTATGTTGAACAGAAGTGGTGACAGTGGGCAAACTTGTCTGGTTCCAGAACAGGGAAAAATTGAAATCACCATGCAATTTTCACAAAACTCGTTGAAACATGGAATAATTTAAGATTCTACTCACAGTAATATATAAATTCCTCTGTTAATCCATATTCCAGGGCAATAAGTAATCATCAAATAATAATTGCCTATCTATATTTGCTTATCTATAGATGTTAAATAATTATGATGCTCATCTTTTGCACCAGTCCTATCCTCAGCCAAGCAGAATATGCATCCAACTACCTGTCTCTCCACTGGAGCCAATATGGTTGCATATGGGTGGGACTCTTAGAGGTTTTACCTCCTCCCCCCACGAAAAAACCTTAAATTGGAAAAAACATCACAAATACTTTATGCTCAAATAACTACAGCTATTTCTTATTGATTCACATATCTGCTTTCCACATTTGAACTTTCTATTGGATTTTACACTTTTGTATTCCAATACCTGATGCACACTTTGGTGATTTTATGAGAATCTTAGCTATTATCATTCCTACCCCATGACCCATTCATTCTTCCTTCTATCTTTCTATTTTAGTCAGTAGAACTAACATTTCCTAAGCCAGAAACCATAGAGCCATTGTAAAGTCAGTCTTGTCCCTCAACAGCCACATTCAGTGAAGCATGATCTTGGTTATGCTACCTCCTAAATATTTACCTAATTTTCATCTTCCTCTTTGTTCTTTTGCCCCAAGATTGATTTGGACAACCATCTCCCAGTGATCTCTTTGGCTCTGGTCTTGTCAACCTCAAAATTGTCTTCCACATTCATCAGTAGTCACAATTAAAGGATGACCCTGACCATAGCCTTTCTCTGTCACCCACTATAGGATAAAATCCAAACTTCTTAGCATGACATACCAATGGCCTTCCAGGTATTCCCCCACCTATAATCCATTCCTGTCTCTGTTACTTGCTACCTTGAATTTAATTCCAAATACCAAACAAATCTTATTCTTTCCCATCCTTCATCATAGACACACACACACTCCACATGTCAATCCACAAATTTTTTCATTTGTCTATGACACTTTTAATTGTAGTACTTTGCTGCTTCTTCAGTCTTATCCTCTTTCTAAACTCAGCTAAGGTGTTGTATTCTCCAGGAAGACTTCATTGATTGTTCTAAATTAAGCTAAGTAACCCTTCCTCAGAGCTCCATACCATCTTGACATTTGACCTCTATACTTCTGCCTCCCCTTTCTGATTACCTATACTTCTCATGAATAAAGATATTTCTAATCTCATCTTTATTATCTTGGAACCTACCATGGTACTTAGAGTAAAACTCAGCAGGTTGTTGTTGTTGATGATGATGATGAATGAAACAACCTCTGCAACCCTGTGAATATTTCTGGGTTACCAACCTGTTTATCAGACCAGATTCTGCCCAACCTGGTCTCTTAACTCTGGGAGTTTCTGAAACTGTGTGCATTGGTTTTGACAGAATTTCCATCACAACCTCAGTTTATACTTGTCACTCCAGTGCCGTGTATCATGGTTAGGAGTCCTTTGTTTTCTGTATCCTTCCTAGTACTAGATCCTCTGATGCTTGTCTCCCACACTCCACACTGTCAGCATTCTGAGCTGTAGTCATGTTCCTGTGATCCCAGCAGTTTCCTGCCTATGATGCCTTCCATTCTCCATGATTTGGTTCTCTGCTCCTCTTGGGTTGCCACGTGACTGGCTCCAGAGTGCAACACAGACAGCTGAGCCTGGCCATAACGCCAATTCATGCACTCTTAGCAGTCAGTGTGAATAACCACATCCTCCGTACCTGTCATCGACCAAACTTTTCTTAATTTAAGATTTGTGATAACTTTCAGGGGCCTCTGCCTCCTCTAACTTTCCACAGAAAACCCTTAGCATTGCCAAACAAATCTGCCTCAACCATAAATTACACTTAACATTATCTACATAACCTTGGCTAAATCAGCATGGGTAGGCAACTTGAAACATATTGGTTTCACATCTGGATTTGCTCTGGGATTATGGGCAGCTTTTTTGCAATCTGCTTGCATTCTACCTTTCCAAGTTTCAGTGGTGTAAAACTGTGGTCACTTTTACTGACTAGTTTATGTGAGTGGTAATTAGGTTTCCTGTGAAAGTAGTTTCTCCAGCTTACGGCCTGGGAAAAAGATGAATATCGAATATTAATTGTTCACCTGAGCATTCTTGTTATGATATTGTGACTGTCTGTAATTGTTAACAAATAGTTCACGTGTTAGCCAAATAACACCTTTTAGGAGTGATCTATTTCTACCACGAGATACATCTTAAAGGATGTATTCAAAATGTATGTATTACCTAATTCCTAAACACCTACAAAGAAATGACTTCAATTCACATGTGAATAGGACTTTTTTCTTTAGTTGATACATAATCATTCCCTCCTAATTCAAGACAATCTGGTGAGTTAATAGTCCCTTTATACTAGATGTTCAATATTTTACCCTTATTTGAGAAACAACTACCTAACATAAATAATGAAAAGATCACGTGCTTTAGAAGCTTGCTATTATCTATTCCTTATTTCATATCTACCTGAAGCACGTGTTCTTTTGGGTAACTGTGGCCCAGAGTTCTCTGATCACCTTTGGTGAAACAGACCCTCATTAGGATGACCAGCTTGCCCCATACACAAGCACTCATAGCTCAAGTCACAAAGAATTTAAATAGCAACAATTATACAACACTGTCTATACAACCTTGACAGAAGCTGTGATATTTCACAGCTGGAAGAAACTCTTAGGATCACCTAACACATCCACCCATTTCTCAAATTAGGATTTTTAAAAAATTATTTATTTTAATTTCAGAATATTATGGGGGTACAAACGTTTAGGTTACATATATTGCCTTTGCACTGCCCGAATCAGAGCTACAAGCATGCCCATCCCCTATATGGTGAGCCCCACACCCATGAGGTGTGGATTTACCCATCCCCTTCCTCCCCCCTACCCAACACCAAGTGAATGTTACTTCCATAGGTGCACATAAGTGTTGGTCAATTAGTACCAATTTGATGGTGAGTACATGTGGTGCTTGGTTTTCCATTCTTGTGATACTTCACTTAGAAGAATGGGCTCCAGCTCCATCCAGGATAATGCAAGAGGTGCTAGTTCACCATTGTTTTTTGTTTTTTTTGTTTTTTGTTTTTTGTTTTTTTTTGGTTGAGTAGTAAGGTGAAGTGACTTGCTCAGGAAGTTGGTAGCAGGTGAGAACTTTTCTCAGAACTCCTGACCCGTTTACCTCCCTTGTTATTTTTTTATCATTTCTTATTAAAAACAAATATTTATTAGTTGCTACTTCATGAAGGGGACAATTCCATGGGTATGAAATGATGAGCAAGAGAGATGTAGCCCCTGTCTTCACGACATGTCCATCCCAGTTAAACACACAATGCTAGTTTCTCCATCATTCACAATGCAAATACAGGTACTTGATGAGATAGATGAACTTTTAAGAACACTTACAGCACAGACAAGGATCCACTCTCAGAACTGTTGCCTCTTGTGGACACTTTGCCCCCACTTCCTGGACATTTATCCTTCTAAAACACAGCATCCTCTCTCACTTCTGAGTCTAACCTTGAATTAAATTCTCTCTCTACTATAGCTTCTGACTAGCATGCAAACCTACTCAACATTCCTTGAGCCCTCATATCTGATTATGAACTTATTCAGAACAAGAACGACCACACTCCTGGTCCAAATTGTAATGAAAAGCAGATAAGAGCACCTTCTCCAGAGATGAAAATGCATCCTCCTTTATACAGCAGTTCTCAATGGGGGGCAATTTTGCCTCCCAAGAGACATTTAGCAGTGTCTGGAGACTTTTCGGGCTGTTACAACGGGGGAATGGGGTGCTACTGGCATCTAGTGTGGAGAGACTGGGGACACTCCTAACTATCCCGCAACACACAGGACAGCCGCCAACCCCTGAAACAAAGAATCATGCAACCCAAAAAGTCAGTTATAACCGGGTTGAGAAACTCTAGGCTGGGGCTCCAGTAGCCTCCTACAAAAGTAACATGCAAGTGGAATCACAGTATTTGCCATTCTGTGATTGGCTTATTTAACTTAGCGTAGTGTCCTCCAGGTTTATCCATGCTGTCAAAAATGATAGAATTTCCTTTTTCTGAAATAGTCAAACTCATAGAAGCAGAGAATAGAACTGTGTTTGGTTGCAAAGAGCTGAGAGAGGCGGGAATGGGGAGTTATTCAATAGGTATAAAGTTTCAGTTATGCAAGATAATTTCTAGTGATCTGCTGTACCATGTTGTACCTATAGTTAGCGATAAAGCATTGTACACATAAAAATTTGCTAAGAAGATTGACCTCATGTTAGGTGTTCTTAACACACACATACACAAAACACAGAAGGAAATGAGAACTTCTGGAGGTAATGGATATGTTTAATACCTTGAAGATATCACTGGTATATGCGTATGTCCAAACTCATCCAATTGCTTACATTAAACGTGTGCAGGTTTTTTGTATATCAATTATACCTCCATCAATAAAGCTGTTAAAAACAAGTAACATATAATCTATGAAGTACTAGTGTCCCTTCAGATCCACTCAGAAAAAATTGGTATAATTGCTTTCAATAGAACCAAATGCAAAGCCTTTAAAGGATCCCAATTAGCCTTAATTATTCCAGTTTCTTCCCTAATGAGGAACTAGAAACTGCTATTTCTCTCAAATATATACTCATAGAAGATAAAGAACTCCAACTATTAATATGGGGTTTATGTACCACCATTAATTTTTTTCGGTAGTCTTCATTAACATATGAAACTACGATTGAGAGTGGCTACATTTTCTATTCAAGTAATAATAAATAAATTGTAGGTTAAATGCCTATCAAAATACAACAAAGATACTTTGCCCACAAACCTGGAAAGGAATTTCATAAGGAACTAGAAATGAAAAAACTGCAAATTCTCCCTGAAAAAATATAATAATCTCATTTTAAAGTAAAGAATTTAAATCAATCCAAGATGTGACAGACTAAGGTATTTAATCTAAATACTTTTGCTCTTTGCTCTAAATACTTTTGCTCGCTTTTGCTCTTTTATTACTCAACACCTTTTGGCCTTACTTGACAAAAATATTAGCAAAATTGTGGGGTCATGGTAATTAACAAAAATTGGTTCTTTGAACCCAACTGCTAAGGCAGTAAATAATTGTCACTTAATAAAAAACCTGATGTGCTTCATCACAAGTAACCATTCCCTGTTGAATTCCTATCCTGTGCTACTTCATGTTCTTAAAAACTAAGGATCATATCCTGAGAGGCTGGTATTATTTTCTCCAGTTTAATGAAAAGAATATAGGTTTAAATAGATTGATTAACATGCCCCAGCCCATATCAAAGGAAAACCACACCCAATGACATCTAGCTCCAAGTCGAATTCCTCCAAAGCCCTGTGTCCCCAGAACTTCACCTGCAGGCTAAGTCTTGTCTCCGGCCATTAGCATTTCATGGAAGGAAAGTGGCCTAGTCTACTCACCTTTCCTTAATCCCATATGTAAGGTTGCTCTTACATATCCCATTTCTGTTTCAAAGAGTCTGCAAGCTAAAGCAGAACAGAAAAAATAAAATTCCATGAGCATCAGGTATCTGAGTTCAGACATATTAACTCACCTAACACTGCTTAATTTTGTGTCCACCTTCTTCAGAATGGATGACACCATCGGATTAGGCACATTAGCTGGACCAGTCCCCCTCAGCCAGTGACCTAGAATTGCCTTTGATCAGAAGCAAACGTGGTTTGTGGAACTGACTGGTTTTAGATGCCAAAAAAACAAATACAATGATTTTTTTTGGAGCTGAAAGAACACTGGGAACGCTTACTAGCAACCACAAAGTTAGTGTATTTGATCTTTGATGCTTGACGTCAAGGCAAGGTTTTTAAATATCCTAGTATTTGGCTTGGTCTCAATTTAACATTCGAGATGTTTATAGATATTGTAGTTAATAATATTGACACATACAAGGAAAGGAGATCGCTTACAAGAAGAAAACATACTGTTTTAAATAACAAACTAGTGCGAAGAGCAGTACTTCTCAATCCTGTCACACAATAGGCAGTAAAGGGTGTTTTTTTTCTTTTTTTCTTAACGCAATTGCCTGAGTCCCACCAATTGAGACCAATTATTGAATCAGAATCTCTGGGTGGGGGAGGAAGGAGGAGTGGTGTTGTTGTATTTAAACTTCCAGGATTGATTATACTGGACAGCAAGTATTGAAAATGATGGCATAAGAGAAAGTTCAAAACAGGCAGTTTGTTACGTATCTCAGTTCTGATATAAACAACTGCATGACTTTGACAAAACCTATGGATTCTCTGACCTAACAATGCCACATAAATGGCATCTACCATTTTATGGTGTCATAAGGATTAAGGCAAGGCATGACATGCAATTTTTAATGTAATAAAACTTCAATAGTATTATTACTCCAAGATTTGCATAGTCTATCCACACTCTCTTAGAATTAAAGGATTTTATTTCTGAAATGGGTGAACAGATCATTGTTCAGAGGACTAACTCATGAACCAGTTCATCTATCTTTGTTTCCGTTCCTTAACCGGGCTGAGCAATCAGGGAATCTACTTTGCTTTCACCTGATTTGAAATCAAGTCGCTTGGTATTAAAGAACAAAGGAGAAAGGTGCTAGCTATGATGGCACTTTATGTGCTTTCTAGGCCAAGGGCTGGACCTTTTAACATTCCCTCACCATCCTATATGCTGGTTTTTGCCAGGATCCTGAACAAAATGGAATTCCATTACCCACAGAATCCAGAGTGGCTAATCTCTGCATCCAAACATCTACTACAAAGTGACTGCTGACTCTGAGACTGGAAGAATGCTGAGCACTTTGCAATCATTATTTCATTTATTCCCCCACATGATCGTAGGGATGTCACAGACATGATCTCAACTTCACCAACGAAGGTCTCCCGATTAGTAGGTGACATTTCCTACATCTGAAGTCATGTTTATTACATTCAAAAATTTATTCTCTTAACCAATCCATCATACCTGGAATTAAAAGAAAACACAATACAGAAAGGATGAATGTGCCCACCCAGGTAACATCTTGTCTCCTAGGTTTGCTGCTATGTGGGTGGGCTAAACTACACATTTGTGGCTCCCTAGTGGCAGCAGTCCTCAGGTTTGTGCAAAACAGTCTCCTGGGATGCTTATTAATATGCAGATTTCCAGGTCCTATCTGCTGGAGACTCAGAAACCCTAGGCCTGAGACAGGAGCTCTGAATCTGCATTTTTAGCATTCATTCCAGTATGTCTAATGCACATTGTTTTTATTTTGCTTCCTTTAATAAATATGTTTCTAAAAGATATTCTATAGCTTTTATTTCATTGATTTAAATTAATTGTCCTGAAACAAGAGGCCTCAGGCCAAAACAGGCCTGCTGTATGCTTTTGTAGATAAAGTTTTATTAGAACACAGCCATTCCTATTTGTTTATGTATCATCTATGTCTACTTGGATGACTACGGAGTTGAGTATTTGCAATAGAGGCTATGTGGCCAACAAAAGCAGAAAATATTTGCTATCTGGACCGTTAAAGATAAAGCTTGCCAACCCCTGTCCTAAAATGACTCTCCTGCTAAACTTTGGCAAAAATGTGGACCACTGATTAATTTGGAAATATTTTCTATATCTAACATCATCTGAGTTACTCAGCTTCTGGGATTCAATGAGTGTATGAAAAATGTATTTTATTCATGAAAAACATATTGTTCATTATGTCTTAAGACATACTTCTCAGATGACTTGCTTAGATAAATTTCATTATCTCGTTTTCCTATTTTTTGATTAGCTGCAAATTCAAAGGAATAGAAATAGAATAGCAATAGAAATAGAATTTTCTCTAACATATAACCAAGAAAAACAGGTGTTCTCATCAAACCTGCAAGACAAATGGAGAAAAATCTGAGGAATCCATTAAGAAATCCTCTTAATTTATTTACTTGAAAAAAAAGTTTAGTAAAGGCACAGACCTTTTCCTGTTGCCATATACTTAAAAAAAAAAATTGAGATGGAGGAGAAGAGCCAATTGACATTGGTAGAGGTAACTCCTTCCAATTGCTGACTGTTAGGAAAGTTAACCCACCTCTTCCTTCCCAACCCATCATTATGTAAAGGAAATAGTTGCCACATTATGTCAAGCTCCTTTGGACCAGAGAGGGAGAAAGGGACAAATCATCAAGCCAGAGGAAAGTAAAGGAGATGAGTAAGATCCAGTTAAGTGACCAGAAAGATGTAGTTTGAAAAATCAGAGAGGGGCAATGGGAAAGATGCAGAGCAACATGAACTCAGGGATTAGGAAGGAGCACATGATGTGGCATAGGCATGCAAAGGATGCTCGATGCTCGTTGAATGAATGCACTTAGAAAAATAAAGTTGAATCAAGGGTTCCAAAGACAAAAGCAATGCAAGGGGGTTAAAGAAGGAAAATAAAAACATTATTTTTACACATAATCATCCAGTATCATATGAATGATCTCTAAGTATTTTCCCACTAGGGGAAAATAAAAGCCCAAATTCCTCACTTCAAGTTTGGTTTCCTGGAAGAGCTAAAGGCTTGACCAGGTCTAGACTAGATTTTATGTGCAGACCTGTGCCAGCTCCCCTGGCACAAGTGACTGGGTTCCAGCGGCTGCGGTGGCTCTCTCCACACCACTGGCTTGGTGCGCTGCGGGTTTCTCCATCTGGTTCAACAGGAAGTATGTACTGTTTTCAGGATGCTATGGAGCTATTTTTAAAAGCTGAGCTACATACAGGTATTTATGACCCTAGGTCCAATTTGGAGAAACAAAACATTTGCCAATGCAAGTGCAGCGAACATTTTCAACAGCCAACCACATGGCCTCAGGTTGGAAATGGTCAGAGTGAACGACTGGAACAAGATTCTTTCCTCAGCCCTGCAAAAGCCATCGTTTCCTTTTGCAAGGCTACAGCATCAGAGTCAAAGAAACAGTCATTTGCTGGCAGGAGTGGGATGTCGGGCTCTTACCTGGATTACAGGAATGGCAGTGATTTTTAAACACCATTTTTCATATCAAGGGGTTCATGGAGGTTCTATTTTTGCCTATATATGTTTAATGGGGAATGCTATATTTTCTGGAGAACTCTACATTAGAGTTATCTGGAGAAACAAAACAAATAAAGTAAGTGTGTTCACATCTATATGAAGACAGTTCGCATCTATATGAAGACAGTTATTATTATTAAGAATTGGCTTGTGTGATTGCGGAGACTGGCAAGTACAAAATCTGCAGAATAATGTCCCAGTTTGAGTCCAAAGGCCAGAAGCTGCTGCAGAACAAGGAGGAGCTGATGTCTCAGTACAAGGGGGATTAGGCAGGGGAATTATCTCCTACCTGGGGGAGGATCGGCTTATTGTTCTATTTCAGACCTTCAACTGATTGGATGAGGCCCACCCACATTAGGGACAAATAAGCTGTACTCAATCTACCAATTTAAATGTTAATTTCATTCAAAAATACACTCATAGAAACACCCAGAATATGACCAAATATCTAGGCACTTTGTGCCTCAGTCACATTCACATGTAAAATTAACCATCACAGGGTTACTGCCAATTGAGTTGTCAGTTGAGCATTCTGGGCACAATGCTGAGTGTTATCTAGTGCAGATTGGTTAACTTTGGCAGAAACTTTGATTTTTGCACTGTAGCTAATCCCTACTTACAAAGCCACTTAAACCATAAAAAAAAGAAAATGAAACTGGATATTTAAAAAACAATTTAGCTCATTCACATTCCATTAGGCAGCACAGAACATATATAAATAGAATATATGGATATTTTCAGATTATCTTCATTTTCTTTGACATTTTTCTCCATAATATTATAAAACTAAATTTAAATAATTTGATGTTTCCATATATTTTGGGGGCTCTCTTACACTTTCCTCATAGCTTAGAATATTTTATCCTACCATCTCTAGATAAATTATTCATTTATTTGCTCGTTCAAGTTTTTACCTCAAATACTCATTTCTCCATTAAGAAATCTCTGTACTCTCCCACTCAAATAAAAAAGAAAATCTCTGACTCCTTTAAAAGATCACCCATTATATTTCTACCTTTTAAATTCCACTTAACCCTCCCTCCCTCCCTCCCTTACCTTCCTTCCTTCCTTCCTTCCTTCCTTCCTTCCTTCCTTCCTTCCTTCCTTCCTTCCTTCCTTCCCCTTTTTTGGATGTATTTTTAATGCCCAAATTAAAGTCTGTAAGCGCCTCGAGAACAGAGATGATTATCTATATATCTTTTCCAAGGCCTAGCTTAGTACCATGAACCTACATAATGAAATTGAATGAGTGAATGAATGAATGTGTAAGTGAAAAAATGAAATGAAATAATGTATATTTTACTGAGCAGTTATCTTAAGAAAAATCACACTCTTTCTTGACCTTCCTTTCATCATCTGACTTGCATATGACTCTTGAATCCCGGTACATTTATGAAGGCACACAGTCTGTGAGTGGCTGCAGCTGCCTACTCTTACCCTGTGGTCCCCAACCCC